CGCATCAGCCGTTATCCCCAAACTGTTTATTCTGTCACAGAACTTTGTCTATTTCAATATCACTTTGTTTATATCCACGTGTTCTTTGTGTACTACTGTAAAGTGTGGCAACTTGAGCCAACGCACTTGTGTACGAGATTCTACGTTGATTTTTTCAGCCAGTTATGCTATCGTTAATAGTAGTTTCCCATTTGTACTTAGGTTGTATTAGCATCCTATCTGTTTTCATGGCATATGTTTATTTATAATTTAAATCTGTTTTTCAATACTTTCTGTTGTTTTACAGATTCAGATGGTAAGTGATAGCTTAAATACATAAAATTTTCCGTAGAATTCGTCACCGAAAAAACTGAACAAGCTCTGGCTTTTTTTGCTTTTTAATATTTCGCGAAGAAGAATAATTTCATGGGCTTCTAGAGATTTAATTATTTATCAGGCCATGCTCTATCAAAAGGATTTATAAATTATAATCAATAACGAGAAATCGAAATGCACTCAGCAATCATATGACAGTTCGTACAGTAGGCAATGAGCCACATCTTTAGTGTTAGGTCTTATGATATTACCTGGTTACCCAAACCGCAATTAGTTGGAACTTGGTTCAAACACCTAGCCTATCGGTTAAACGTAAAGTTCTTAGACCAGTCAGTCACAGCTTCTATGATTCATTAATAATTGTGCATTAGAGAGAAATCTATCAAAGGAAAGGTGATTCTGTAACTTTAAAAGATTCTCACTCAGGAAAAACATTTTTTTCCTATACGAATGTTTACAATCACATAGACTGTCAAAAGTAATTCAGTACAAATAATCAAGTAAATTGTCCTACTTTAGAAAGGACGACAGAGGAAACTAGGCTGAAATGAATAGTGGAATCATTAACCGCTACAGAAATGTGGTTATACATAGGGTATACTTTGTAAACCTGTTGAAACTAATCATTGCACCAAAAACGATGACTAAACTGGTTTCAGTTGCCAATATCACAGCGGAAACTCGGGATAATAAGGCGAAAGGTGATTAGAAAATGTGAGGAATCTCTTTATCCCTTATATTCCATACTTACAATTTATATATATTTAAAGTGTTTTCTTGGTGCTGTTTTTCACATATATGGGTCACATGTCATATAACCCACTAGCGCTATGATTGGCTCCTGCTTCTTTAAACGTACTAATTATTCCTTATCTTCCAAGGTCACTTTAAACTCTACAAATCGATTCCGTTTACACTAATAAACGTTTTCAGTTCGAGATACTATAAATGGAATTGATTACAGGTCTTTTGATTTCCCTTTGGAAGTAACTTGGGTTGAACCGTTTCAACCTTCGGATTGACAGACTGACAGAATCAACGTGGAACCACGCATGCAGATGCATCGTTTCAAATTGTCACACTTCACAGTGGTACACAAGGAACAGGTGGATAGAAAATGAGTGATATCAAAGTGGACAAAGTTCTGTGAAAAAATAAACAATCTGAAGATAAAGGTTATTGTGAATATTTACCCTTTAGAAAGTGTCAAGGAGTGAATGCATCTGCGTCATTGCGACCAATTATCAGCCATGTCTGTAAGAATCAGTGCTCAACCACTGATTCTTTTCATCTCGGTGACCCCAACCAGGCAGTCTACATCCCTTTACACAACTCAGACCAGCAGTCAAGGAATTCATAAACTGGTAGTACGTCTTGGTCTGGTCATCCTAGACCCTTTTGCATCCTAATCCAACTTCCCGCTCTTGCATGACACGTCAAGGTAGGTGGTGGCACGGCATGCACCGTACATGTCAAAGTCATCTCAGTCAACTTACGTTCACAACCTCGTCAACCGACTTACCTGTCTTGCTTAGTATCTTTCGCCCGACCTCTTCATTGCTCACACGGTGATTCCACTACAAGCGAGCAATGCTACGGAGACACCATTGGTCGAAAAACTGTAACTGTTTCATATCACCTACCTTTAACGGACATATCTCACAACCATACGACATAACAGAACGGAGTGAAGTGCATTATACTTGACCTTTGATAGATAGCCAGATATCTTGCCGACGTTATCGGTTCCGGCTGGTGCAACTCCCCAGGTAAATGAAGTGGTGAACAAATTCCAGAACTGGGAGTGATAGCAGAACAATCAGTCCTGGAGCATCATCTCATATTTGATGGGTGAAACGCATGCCAAACAAACACAGATTTCTGCGTAAGGCGTTCAGAAGATCCTGAATTTCTTCAGCGTCTTCACCTAGTCGAATAACATCACCCGCATAGTCCAAGTCAATCAGATGACCTTCAGGGAGTAGGTCAGTTCCTGTGAAGTCGGATATACTTAGAGTTATGTCAATTTGGTAAGTGAATGAAGAAGTCAAATAAGAACGGTGACAGTGGACATCCGTGCTGGATACCACTAGATTTTATCAACCCTCGACCATCAATCGTTAGTTATTATCGTTCATTCTTACAACTCTGCATCGTAACAGATAGGTAAAGTGAATGGAAGAAAAGTAGATGCCAAATCTTTCAGATAATAAAGTATAAAGGTTTTTTTTTCGATATCTAGACTAAAATGATATCCCATGGTAGGGAAAACATTTGGTCATTCGGTATATGATATCCCTTATTTTTATTTCCCAGTGAATTTACAACAGAACAAAGTCGTTTTAACCGACGTCTCATTATTTATTGCGATTAGTTTTACCAAAGTTAGAGTAAACCAGAATTTACAATATCACCCTGCTTATGTATGATAACTGGATTTGAATTTTTTGGATGGGTGATTCTGCATTGTCGAAATGTTGACAAGTATGGCAACCATATGCAGTGTTTAATTGAGATCAGTGTATGAATTACAAATTGAGACTTGTGTATACAGATGTGGTTATTGTGTTTATCGCATATATGTTGGTTATGTTGGTATGAGGGGTTGGATTGAAACCATATCAGGTTACATATTATTCCGTACTTCCCATTTAGACAATTTTGATTTTACATTATGTGAAGAGATTCTGCTATGAGACGTTCATCATAATTTCTGAAGTCATTATGAATAATTTCGATATTCTTGGTAGTATTATGTTCTCTGAGCTGGGTTGTTTAATCGTAAAGCTTTCATAGTCTTTCTGGACGACATCATCAGATAGTGCTGATGATGTGAACAGTTAGCTAACTTTGCGAAAATGTTATCACAAGCTCAATCAGAGGCCATTTAATCGACTCAAGACACAGCATGTATAGATCTTCAGTCTTTAAATTAATGAATCAACAATGATCCCTTATCTTACTTCGTTTTGTAGGATTAATAGCAATAAAACGCTTTAAACGGAACCTATGTGTTGAGAAACAGATGATCTTTATTCTAGTATTATCTTGGTTACCAGGGGTTTAGTATGACTGCTTGTATTATACCGTCATTGATTGGACCGAATTTACCAGTCTGTATTAGCATATGGGCTCGTATAACTAAAACACATACTGGTATTATCGAGGCATCCGCACAGGAACCCATATGCCAATACAGACCTGTCAGTTCAGTTCAGTCAACGACGGTATAATACAAGTAATAATACTAAAACTATACCCATCGCACAAGAAGTGGTTATCGTGGTTCGTTGGTGTGGTGGATAGCGCTATGGCATTTCAAGCGGTCGGCCCCGGGTTTGAATCCCGGCAGGGACAACACTCACTGGGAGGCAGGTACATCCGGCTGACGAGTGAGTCCCAAATAGGACGAAACGCGCATCCTGAGTCCCACTGCTAGTCACTACCAACCATTACTATGGCTATGAGTTTGTCTTTACTATTATATATTTTTTTATTTTACGCTTTCTTATCCTCCCCTTTTCTGTTTTTATTACCTGTTCTATGTACCTTATATAATGTAACATTTATCTGTTTGTTTCTGTCAAAAATCTGTTGTTATGATTGTGATAATCACGTGATTATATTTTGTATTTAGTGGGAATTTCATTTTAAAGGAAGCATTCGTCACAGACTACCATCATTTGGAGAACCATTGAAAACCTGGGAGCACCAGGCAGCTATTTCGTCCTAGTGTGTGACTCCTCAGCAGCTTATTAGGGATACTTACTTAAAAACAAAACTTCAAATAACCTTAAAATACATTATTCTGTAGTGCTCAGTAGTGATATACTTCCAGATGGATATCCTGAAGTTCTAATGAAAAGCCGTAACCTGTGGGGTCAATCAGTTGGAAGTGAAGTCGATGGCAACTGAAGATTTCAGTGGATAATCGAGCAATATCACGAACTGATAGAAGTAAGAAAATGCAGACCACTGAACTCCAACCTAGTGGATGAAAGGTTAACACATTCACTGTGGAACCTTAACACGCTAGGTCCAGACCATAGTGGGGTCATAGGTGTGTGCTAATGAAGAATCCCATCCCAGGATAAAAAGCCTATCCAGTGCTCCGTGACTTCTGGCAGTTCTTCAACTCATGTCAGTTCATGATGAAACTACTTTTATCATATTATTATTTTTATGATAGCGTGTATTTTCATCCTTTTAACTAATCTCCACACCCTCTATCAAATCTCTACGATCCTTCTTCTAACTGCATATAAATCAACAAACTTTATCAGCATTAATAGCCTAGCTAACATAAGTTAAGGGAGTTTTCCCCATTGCGCTGACGTTTCCGAGTGTACATAATTATTTTAACTCAAAACTATGTTTTTCATATTATCCCATGTATATTAACTCCAAACTGTTTACAGCTGAGGAGAAGCTGCGAAATCGATAAATGTGAACCCAGTTTATTCTATAAATCTTGTTCTTCCTGCTTTAATAAAAAATGTAATCAGCAATAAAAACCAAATAAAATATGATTCATTTTAATTCATAATCAGGAAAAGGTTAACTATAGTCTTAGGGAATGCCAATGAATTTAAAAAAATCACAAAAATGAACTAGTTACCAGATGGGGTGAACACAATAAGCTTAAAAACAAAGCCTAAACTAGTCATTTATCGGTAAAAACTTACTCTATTCGTTGTATCTCTATCCAGGGGAGCAGTTGGTGGCGTCCAACTAATCGGTGCTTTAACGTGTTCATTTTTAACACTCCATGGAACATAATCATTACGATAGTTTGTTGTGCCATCAAATTTAGCATAACATTTCTTGACTTCAAATGGTTTGACTAAAGTTGCTGGACAAATTGGTTTCTTGTTGTTTTTTAGTTCAGTAAATTATTGTTATAGGGGATGTAAAGAAAGGCAGAATTCAGTAAATCCAATAGCATGATTCAAAAAGTTATTGTTAAAACGAAAGGAAGAGTAAACTCAAATCAGTGTCAGTAAACTTCATGTTTATCAGCATGTTGAGGCTTGTTTCATAGGCTTATGTATTAGACATTCTAGCATCTAGTTTCACGTCCGAATTCTGCTGTACAAACTTCATAGTTGATAGTTAGATATCATTATGAGCTGTAATATTCTAAGTGTGATTCATTATTATTTTTCCCTTGTGTTCCTAGTGGAACATAGGGCTTCAGTAGCACGCCTCCATTGATCTCTCTTCTCTTCAGTATTTTCAACCTAGCGCGACGACTACCCGCAAGCTTTCACCTCTTCCTCACATGGTCTTCTCCATGTCACACTCAGATGCCAAACTCACTGTTTCCCATTTGGATTCCACCCGAGAGCCTGGCGCGTGATGTCCCCAGTCGGCCTTTTCAGTGTATGCCCAATCTAGTCCATCTCCACTTTCTTCTACATATTTGTAGGGAGATCGGTTCTTGGGTGGTTGGTACATTTGCAGGCTCAGTCAGAGTTCCTTGTTGCTTATTCTTATTATTCTGGCCATCCGATCTCGTCTGATCTTCAGTGTCAGTATTGAGTGAGGTAGCGTAGGCGGCAGCTATTGATGTGATGTGTGTCTGCACTTTGTTGGAAATGCGCTTCTCGTAACGCGCCAACTCTCTCAACCATCACATCGAAGCACTGACTTGAATGACATTAGTGTTGAAAATCCGGATCCTGTTAACGCTTTATGCCGATTGGAGTGGAGTGCAATGCAGTAGATCTCTGCATTAATTTCAGATTAATGAAGGAAGGCCTGTCTTACTGTCTTTGTGATCCTGGCTGGTTTTGACATCCTCGTCTGTGCCACCAACACCTGCAGGTGAATTGATGCTACCTATTTGGGTAGGTAGGTGAAAGATGGTGATTGGTGCTCGTTGTTGATGCTACTGTTGGTTGGGTATCTTCATCACCTTTTTCTTCTCTACATTCACTGGAAGTCCCGTTTTCGCTGCCTCAAGTATGATTCACTGTCTGGTATATAAAATTTCTTGTCTCTGAGTTGCTTTTCAATATTCATAATCACGGGTCATATTTACAATTATGTTTTAAATTCCCCTGAAGAAGGTGGAACCACACTTTCGTAAGAAACATTGAAATAATTTCATTTCAAACACGCTGTGATTTACACAAATAGAAAGTATACCTAATGCTCCTCAATTACGTTTACAAGGCGTACATGTTTGAATTCACGGTGAACCTTGAATCACTTTAGCTGTGGAATAAATGTCTGTCCCTCAAATATTTTATTCTAGATAATAAAAGTACTATGATGTAAAGTTGCTACATTGAATAATATTAATTATAAAGTTTTAACGAATTAATCAAGTAACTTAGGATGTCAAAGTCAGAATCGGAAAAGCAAGACAGGCTTTCATTAGCCTGAAACCAGTGTGGAGATCTTCTGCACTCAGCATGTGGAACAAGATCCGGATTTTCAACACCAACGTCAAGTCAGTCCTTCTGTATGGTTCAGAGACTTGGCGCGTCACGAAAGGGATTTCCAATAAACTACAGACATTCATCAACAACTGCTTACGCTCGCTACTGAAGATCAGATGGCCAGAATAACTAGAATAAGCAACAAGGAACACTGGCTTACCAACGAACCAACCAAGAACCCATCGGTCAACAAATCTGCATTGGAAGGAAGTGGAGATGGATTGGGCATACACTGAGAAGGCCGACTGAGGACATCATGCGTCACGCCAGGCACTCGAGTGGAGTCCCCATGGGAAGCGATGAGTTGGACGTCCGAGGGTGACATGGAGGAGATCGTGCGAGAAGGAAATGAGAGCTTCTGAGCTGTCGTGGAACCAGGTTCAAAAGACCTCAGAGAACAGAGTGCACTGGAGACGTGCTACTGAAGCCCTATGTTCCATTGAGAACCCAAGGGACTAATAATAAATAATAATAATCAAGTAAGTCATATGGGTATCCTTCAACTGTTAGAAACTACTGAGGTGTTTATAAGTGACCCAATGATTGCATTCATAACGTAAATGACGAATATATCACTGAAATATTTATGCATTAAAAATGTACTTATATTACAGTAATGGATGAAATTAACACATACTGGGTTAACACTGACTGACTGATATCCACTTATTCTCGGGTTACTTCAAGTTTTAATAACTCATTAAACAACATAGTTAAAAGCCAGTATTGGTCACACAGACACATCTTTTTTTCTTTTTTTACACTTCTAATGTTATTTTCTCATGTCATTTTCAGACTATTTTATTTTCTCAGTCTTACTGAGTTTAACTCACTCAGTCGACTGAGAAATTTAACGACTGAACGCATGAAGTAAATCCCAGGATCTCAACTGTTCTATTCATTCACTCACTAACTTATTCACCAAAGTAAAACAGTTTTGAGGGAAGTCGTGACCGGTGGAGTCAAAGCCTGATGGCCATGAGGACAGATACTCAACGATGATATTAGGTGGCGGTTGCGCTTTATCGTGAGCTAACAGAAATTGGAAATATGGAGCATTGGATTCTGACCCAGTGGCTCAATGGTAACGTGCTGGCCGCGAAACCTGAAGGTCGCGGGTTCGAACCCTGCTGGTGTGGGGTCGTGGGTGCGCACTGCTGAGGAGTCCCATACTAAGACGAAATAACTGTCCAGCGCTCCCGGGTTTCCTTTGTTCCTCCAACTGATGTCAGTTTACGATGAATAACAACTTGAAATAAAACAGTTTTCTTCATCTGACCTTTTAAGTGAAATTGGTGCATGCGTTCCCCTCTTATTCATAAAAGTTTGACCAACACATGGTCACATGAAAAAAGTATGTCTCCTCAGAACTATCCATTTTAACTACAAGAGTCAGTCTCAAGAAATTCTAATGGATGTAAACGTAAAACTTGGGGACTATTGTAGTATGTAATTCCATACTAGATTTATTTCATTTATAACACCCAATGATATAGTATATCAGTATGATCACACTCGTTTCGCTGTCTGCTTTTTATAGTCCTGTCACCCCTTCTTTTCTTATCTCTGGCATAAGTGTTGCGTAATTTCTATTACATGTGTTGGGTGTGGATTCTATTCAGTAATCAGTAATCTGTCTGTCCACCTAATCATATTGAACTTGACTACAATATTTATGTCCCATCCTATTGTGTAGTTGTATGTTAATGCATGCGTGCCAATAACCGAGTATTTTTCTAGATTATTTAATTTATTGGGGTGTCATTCTATATTTACCTAAATTCCTATCTTCCACTATTCTACTAGACCCTTGACCAGCTAGTTTGACCTGCACACTTTATCTCACATACATGGAATTTGACAGATTAGATTATTTTGCTGAATTGATTCTATGGGACCCTTAAGCCAGCCAACATAGCTTATCTCTGAATGAGTTTGTAGGTTTAAATGCTACCGTAATTCCGGCTTTGTTGAGTATCCTACGTAAAGTTTTTGATGTACCTTCCTGATATCGTAATACAATACAGGCTTTGAACATATATTTCTACTCGTGTTGTCGGCATTATTTACATTTGTATTATTGTTATTATTTTGTTTCTTATGATTTCATACGAATTTCTTAATAAACTGTGGAGGATAATTATTAATGGTTAACGCATCTCTTATGTTTCAATTCCTTGTTTAAGTTACATGTCTAAATGATAGAGCTAGAAAAGTCACCAGTCATTGTAAGGACTAGATCATTATTGTTGTAACGTTTCGTTTTGAGTGAGGTCCTTCTCTAATGGTCCGAAGAAATTCAGTCACTATTATCCTACTGATTATGGGTTAGAATGAGAATATTGTAACAATCGAAGATTTAGTAAGGTGAGATTTAAACATACATAATCGCCACGTTACACATCATAGCTTGGCACAACATAAAATGATTAAAGTTGATTATTTAGACAATCAGCTCATTCCGTTAAGACAATGAATCGGTAACAGAGTGGGTGATCGTTTGATTCCCTAAGCGACGTAGGAATATCTACCAACCACACATATGAAAGAAATCTGTTGGTTAATCAAACTTATTTTTAAGTAAGCCAGTTAGCAGACACCACAAATTCCCCTTAACAACTATTCAGATAAAATTGTCTATACTGAAATCATACTATTTATATGTGTTCGTTTTACACACAGTAACAAAAACTAGACCTCTTGACTTAAAAGATGATTAAATAATGTTTTTAATAAACTATATGAACTGTCTCTCAACTACATTCAGTTAATTGTTCCATTGCATTTCAAAATTAGAGATGAGTTTCATGTTAATGGCTAGTCAGTCAGTTATAGTTTATATTTTAGCTGGTTGAAGTTACTTGTCACAACCGATGAAAACCAGTAAGTTAATGGTACTCCAAAAATACTAGATCCATTACTTACAAAGATTTTCCAAAATCTTATTTGTGAAATAAAGATAATATCTGCTTCATCTTGTAATTTATTAACATTTTTATAGGATGATCAATTTACAAATGATTTACAAATTACTTGGTCTATGTTGAAATTTTTCACAGCTGAGTGGATTTTCAGCTGCCCAACTATGATATCAACAGGATTTCCGTTGGAAACCACCCATCACTCAAGATCACAAGGCTTGATCAGTGACAAAAATGTGCCATTAATCAGAGAAAAATACTCCTACCGAAAAAGTTGAGCAGGTAGAAACTACTTAGACGGATCTGTAGCTTACGCCAGGCAGCCAGACTAGAGTCACCTAGATATAGGACAGCCATTTCACCTGTTTGAAGCTAAGCCGATACTTGGACAAATTTAACTCATAAAGCCAAATTTTTCAAATTGGCTGAATCGAGTTAGTTGACTTTCATGGATCAGGATACTTAAAACACAATGGTCAGTTTGCTGTTGATTTACAAATTGCACTGTCCTCACTTGTCTTAAAGTAAGGTATATTTACGTTTTCAGCAATTTCTTCATCAGGCCGTATAAATATAAACTCATGAATATCAGTGTAAGGACAGAGTTCTTGTTATCTTGAATGCTGTTCTCTAATAGTCACTGTAAATGATTCAGTAAGCGTAACACAGATGAAATTGAGTGGAAATGAATTTAAAATAACGGACAATAGTGAGTTACTTGTCTGTTGTAATTCAAGCATACAAAATGATGTTGAAATAAGGATGTATATATATATATATATATATATATATATATATATATCTTACATCTAGATAATGGGAGACTGAAATAATAATAATAATGATAAATTGGTTGGTTGTGGCTAGCAGAAGAATCCAGGACGCGTGTTTCGTTCTGTTTGGGACTCGTCAGCTAGATGTACCTGCACCCGAGTGATGCTGTTCCCACTAGAGGTCGAACAATTCGATCAAACAAAACAACGGAGAATCAAAAGTATGTCAATAAATAGTAATAATAATGATTATAGTTATAATGATGCTACTAGGTGATGACATAAAGGTTGGATGGTAACGAAAAGCAATTATGTAAGATCTTTAAATCGTTCATAGGGTGCATATAGATTATAGAAGAGTGGAGACATAGTAGAAATAGTAAACACTCAAGACAATAGGTAGTAGTATGAATGAAATAAGCTAATTGAAATAGAATGGAAACATTTTGTTAAAAGTTGCAATTAATGGAAGCTTAAATGAAGTAACGCTGAAAAATGAAAATAATACTGATAATGAAGATATAAGAATACAAAATTAATCTAATATGAGGGAGAATTTGAAAATTCGAAGCGAATCAAACCAAGGCCGAATTACCCTAAGGTAGAGACAAAGACTGTACGGACTTTCCACGCAAAGATCAGGTTTAGTTTATGAGTAACTAAGGCCTCTGCTGTTTTTAGAAATTGAACGCGGAGGAAATGTGAGATGTTTATACGAATTCGATATATAACCTTAAAATCATTGTTAGAGTCAACTGAATAGTTAGAATCGATCGGATATTCAGGGATAGAACTTTTAATACATTTCACTTCACCCTTGTAAAACTAAGCTGAACTATGTTCTAGTGTACACGTTGACAGCACTCTGTGACTACGATGGATGTACCTTCCTCCTCAGCAGAAGATAAACTGATAGATACACACAAAGGTGCCCTGTCAACGGATACTGTCCTTTGAATATGCACAGAAAAGTTTACAGCTAGTAGAGGTCAAATGAAACTTGGCTGTTAATTGATCTAGAAAGACAATTGTTCAGTATGTCTGATACTGTATCACCTTTAAATTCCATATTCATGAATAAAGTCTTTTGTAGAAATTGATTTGATGACTGGTTTCACATATCTTTCTCATACTTTTTTATCAACTAATTGGCTTGGATAGCCATTTTCCGTAAGCATACTTCTTAAGAAGTCAAGTTCAACTTCTATACAATTTGTCCTATTGATATTTCGTATTCCATAGCAGAAAGGAGAAAAAAATGAAGTTTCTTTTCCAACTGTTGAAATTAATAAGCTGTCCGTTCCATGTGTGCCTTTTCTGTAGATAAATCTCCTTAGTGTTCCATTGCTACGTCTCATAATTATGACATCAACAAAAGAGATAACTGATCCCAATTCTTTATTCACGGTGAACTCTAGTAATGAATTTATTGTTTAGTTTCATTCCTTTTAGTTTCACCCCTTTTAAATGTATGCAGGATTAAAAGATCTTACGTAAGTCCTTTATGCTCTTATTCAACCTTTAGATTTAATTTTCACCATGGATTGGAGTCTTTAAATATCATTTATTTATGAATGTACAGCTTCAGAATAAATTTGTTGAAAATGAGTCTTCTTCGTCGCTGAATATCTTGTTGGTAAAGTCATTGAAATAAAGATTTTATAAAGTTACTTTATTCTCAGTTGTTTGACTTCGGTTAACTTGATTAATTTCATGGTAGTAATTAACGTGAATATTGTACCCATTAAGAAATTTTAAGAAGACTGATTAGTACTCAGTGGTTAATTCGTTTTAAGTTTGGATAACTCAGAATTACACAATCACGAGTATAAGCGAGATTTTAATTATGACTTTTAAGGGGCAAAATGAAAACACTGAGATCTTGATTCACATTCTGGATTAAAGTTAAGTATATTTTGAAGCATCATTGAATTCATAGTATAACATAACCATTATACGACGTTATCAACTGTTATCGGTCTTGATTTCCTATTTACATTGTTTCCTAATTTCAGTTAAAGAATCTAACTATACAAAACAACCTGGATAGATATTTAGTTTGAAAAGATAAGATACTCTGAAAGTGCCGCTTAAACATCAATGAACAGACATTCATGTGCATACAACTGCATAGTATAAATAATTGAATGTTATATGAGATCCATAATCATACCTATTTTATATATGAAATTACTAACCTGTAGAAGTGTTGTACTTAAACTTACTTCAGGAAAGTCTTTTCTGTATGTACTATCAAGATATCGATCTCCTTGCGTAGGCTGATATGATGGAGCTATACGACGTTCTGTTGGTTGATAACCCCAATCTTTATAGTCGATACGATTTGTAGTCATTTCACTTAGTGGATCTTTTGAGGTAATCAACATCTGATTTGGTTTAAATGGTGGATTTAAACCTGTTGAAAAAAAGTAGTTTTTAATAAATAAATAACTTTTATCAACAAATTAATAGAAAGTCTTGTATTGTTATAGACAGGTAATATCTATATAGTTCTGATAGCTGGTTTATTGTTTATTCATAATATGACTTAACATTATGTCTAAATTCCTCTTTTTTATGCGGTAATCTTTAAAGTAGTCAGCATATACAATCTTGTAACATAGTCCGTAAAGAAAGCTTAATGTGTGATTTTGTATTCTTTCCCCTCAATCGAATCAAATCGAGATATACTCATGGACCATTTGTGCATTCATGAAGTAGGTAATAAGCTGTACCTATTGCGTTGATGTAATTGAAACTAGTTGACTGCCCAAACCTCGGTTGATAGACGTGGGTTCGAAATCGAGTGCCTGGACTGATGAACCACAGTTATATTTTTTCATCATAACAAACCACTCCACAGATTCAGCTTAAGTCAGGAAGCTGACTATTGAAGGTTGAGAACTTCATTTTTGATAAAACTCAGTAATTAAGCATAGGATTATATAGTGAGTCATTAATCTTGCCTAGCTAATCAGAATAATTTGAATGAATTCGATGTAAAAGTGTAACTCAGTTGTTTAAATTCAAGTAGTCTAACGATTGAATCGCGTTTAGACTTTACAATATTCAGTGTAAACCAAACGCTACATCGCTAACTTTACGACTTCCATTCCAGTCTAAGTCAAACCGTTATAGATATTATTTCACTTATGGCCTATGATATCAAAATACATTCATGTATGTATCGCCATTAATACATAAAGATTAGGGGGTGGAGTCTGGAATGCCCATTCCATGCAGTTTTCGTATACTCAGCCTAAGGTAACTTCAGGCCATTTAAACTTGAGTTCCTCACTTATGACTGCAAACATTCCCTAGGTTGCTGAGTTACGATAACCACACCTTGAGCAACCAGTATATTATGCTTGTAATTTCAATTGTTCAACTTGATTGATTCGAATCTACTGACCATTGTTCGCCTATGAGCTCTTTGTATGGATGCCTCAACATTGTTGCTTTTCCAATGTTCATTGCAAGGAATGGTGGTAGGCATACTTCAGTATCTTAGGAAGTCATCAGGTACATTTAAGATATACTACCGACATAATCTAGCGGTCACGAGTTCTAAGTGTCCATTAGTAGGCGGTTCTGGAACGAGATAAAATATTATTCCATTCTTGTTGATTTTTGAGAATTAAAATTCATCCAATAAGGACTGTTTGTTTAAATAAGTATATTTCACTTAATCAGTAATGATGAAGTTAGTTGTCGTTGATCAAAAATACATTGATCAGATATTTAAGTTTCAGATTGTCTATAATGATGGATAGAAGTTGGTTAGCACTTCTGACTAGAAAAAATGAAATTGGCCGTTTATCAATGACCTGAAACCAGTGTGAAGATCTTCTGCACTCAGCATAAAGCGTGAACAACATCCGGATTCGCAACACAAATCTCAGTCAAGTCAGTGCTTCTACGTGATGGCTGAGAGACTTGGCGTGTTACGAAAGGCATTTCCAACAAACTACAGACACTCATCAACAACTGCCTACGCTGGCTCGTTACTGAAGCTCAGATGGTCAGGATGATGAGAATAAGCAACAAGGAACTCACTGTGGGAACGAACCAATGAAGCAAGAAGGTATCGCTGAAGAAATATGCAGTTGAAGGAAGTGGAGATGGATTGGACTGGGCATACAGTGAGAAGGTCGACTGGGGACATCACGCGTCAGGCCAGGGCAGTCACTCGAGTGGAGTCCGAATGGGAAACGACGAGTTGGGTGTGTGAGGTGAGGGTAACATGGAGGAGGTGGTGTGTGTGAGGAGGAAATGAGAGCTTATGGGCTGTAGTGGAGTCAGGTTGAAAAGATTTCAGAGAAGGGAGTGGAAGTGGGACGTGTTACTGAAGCCCTATGTTTCATTAGGAACCCAAGGGACAAATAATAAATAATAATTTTCTACTCTGGGTATCCTATGTTGTGGGAAGTTGTGGTTCCGTGGTCAATGGTTCGAATCCCGTTGCAGTCCAAATTTTCATTTCACCTGCAATCATGACCCAGAATCTGAAGCATATCTAACCACTATCACTGCAACATAATCGAGATGTCTTCTGGTGGATTGATTTAAGTCATTTCCTTGAAAATGATTGAGTAAGGCTATATAACGAAAATAAAGAGTTATTTGTTGAATCTGCGTAAGTATTCTGTCAAATCTCTACCTTTGTTTTTATTCTATGTTATTTGCTTTATCTGAGGTTTGTAAAGCAAACAAAAGGATGCTAATTCTTCTTTTTATATACCATGACCTTATTGTATGTTGAAATGCAATGAGTAAAGATCATTGTGCATAGATAATTAACATATGGATTAAGTTAAGCCATTCCTGTTAGAATAAACTGCCATGCATTAAGTATGCGAATTAACTAAGGTTAACAATAAACGTTGGATTCATGTTGAAGTCAGTTTATTCTAAGTACATTTGTTGCTTTAAATACATATAAACTTGATAGTGGGTCGGTATTCTGTGAGCTTTGATATTTTGTTATGGACATTGAATCACAATGTTTGTTGACAACTTTCGAACTAACTACAAAAAGGAGATTTAATGAAGTTGTATCGAAGGCGTCATCAAGCCTGATTATGAAACGTTCACGACAAAACACCGAAGCTCAAAGAACACCAAATTACCATTATGCTCATTTTGGGCTACAAATCTTTTCCATCATTTCACATGCAAACTTGTCGATAAAATTCTCTGTATCGTATCACAAGCAAGTGTACCTGCTGAGTCGTCGGTTCACCTTTTTTCTCTTTCTCCTCTCCCTTTCAGATTCTCATGGTCACCACCAAACTCACACCACTTTACGCGCCCCCTGCAACAACGTATCTATCTACAGGGTAGACAAGCAGCTGGTCGTTACACAAGTAATACCTACAGGATTCAGAATGGATAACGAAGCGAATTCAGTTGAGGGTAATCGGATAAAATCGAAGGTCTACGGGCAAAAACTAGCAAGTTGACAGAAGAGGCAGCGAAAACGGGACTTCGAGTGTATGTAGAGAAGAATGAGGTGATGAAGATACCTAACCAACAGTGGCATCAACAACAAGCATCAATCACCATCAAAGGAAGAAACCTAATTGAAGTTGGCTCTTTCACCTACCTACCCAAATAGGCAGCATCGTTTCACCTGCAGGTGTTGGTGGCACAGACGAGGATGTCAAGACCAGGATCGGAAAAGTAAACAAGACAGGCCTTCCTTCATTAATCTGAAATGAGTGTGGAGATCTACTCCACTCACTATAAAGCGTGGACAAGATCCGGATTTCCAACACTAATGTCAATCAAGGCAGTGCTTCCATGTGATAGTTGAGAGACTTGGCGCGTCACAAAAGCACTTCCAACAAACTATAGACATTCATCAACAGCTGCCACCTACGCCTGCTCATTCGACACTGACACTGAAGATCAGATGAGATGGTCAGAATAATAAGGATTAGCTACAAGGAACTCTGGCTGGCCCTGCAAACGAACCAACCAAGAACCCATCGCCCTACAAATATGTAGAAGAAAGTGGAGATGGACTAGATTGGACATACACTTAGAATACCGTTTGGGAACATCACGTATCAGGCCAGGCCAGGTCGTCGACTGGAAGTCAGATGGGAAACGATGAGTTGTGCGTGACAGGGCGAATTGGAGGAGATTGTGTGAAGAAGAAATGAAATTTTATCGGCAGCGGTGGATCCAGGTTGGAAAGACTGAAGAGGAGAGAGTGAAACGGAGACGTGCTACTGAATCTCTATGTTCCATTAGGAACCCAAGGGACAAATAATAATAGTAATAATAATAATAATAATAATAATAATAATAATAATAATAATAAATATTTCAAGTTGTTGTTCATCGTAGACTGACATCAGTTGGAGGAACAAAGGAAACCTGGGAGCACTGGACAGCTGTTTCGTCCTAGTGTGGGACTCCTCAGCAGTGCGCACCCACGACCCCACACCAGCAGCGATCGAACCCGCGACCTTCAGGTTCCGCGGACAGCGCGTTACCATTGAACCACTGGGTCAGAATCCAATGCTCCATATTTCCAATTTCTGTTAGCTCACGATATAGCGCAACCGCTACCCAATGTCATCACTGTTCGATCCCTGGAGGGGTCGTGGGTGTGCACTGCTGAGGAGTCCCACACTAGGACGAAACAGCTGTCCAGTGCTCCCGGGTTTCCTTTTTTCCTCCAACTGATGTCAGTTTACGATGAATAACAACTTGAAATATTTCCAAATCTCCACAACTCCCTCAAAATGTAATAATAATAAATGTTGCATAGAACTTCGAAGATTGTCAGTAGAACTAGTGGTGTGCTTCTAAACCTTCTAGTTAAAACAGTTGTGGAAAAACATATGAACCCATGTAAACATTTAACAGGAGTTATTTTATCAGATGACCAGCATTCTCTTCACTCAAAGCTTTCTGTGTATCGGTCATCTGGAATAATGAGGATCAAGTACATATGGCTTCATGCACGTACTACAAAATATAAAATCTCTACAATACCGTGTTTAGCTCATCTGGTGTGTGATGAAGAAGGCTTAACAAATGAACTAACTAATTAACTTCTGTTTTTGAAAGCAAACTAACTGAAGATGAGCGTGTTACTATTCACGTATTATGAATCTAATTGCCAATGTGATTGTCTACCTAAATTGTCTGTGCATTTTGAAGAAAGTTGTAGATAGAGCGAATATTCTTATCTTTTCTCCATGTAATTTCTATTCATTTCATTTTGATATGTATACATATACACTGTCTCTATCCAATCGATACTATATGACACGCTGAAAATTCTGTCAAGTATTCTCGAAATAGCTTTCAGGATAAACCCATTATTATCATTCACTATTGTTATTATTATTACTATTGTTAACCACTGGTCGGGTTACTTTGTAACCTTGTCAGATAATCTTTCATAGATGTGTATCATCAGACCAATTTCTTCACAAACTTTAGACTATGGAGACTCATGAATAAAAAAGGGTATGATTTTATTGGTGATATTTCTTCTGAACTAGCATATTTCATTATGAAGCCTTCATTGTCTTTTGTAACAACACAGTTGGTAAAATGTGTAGAGAACGTGAAATATAAGAATCTTCTAACAAGTGGTTTGGCAGTTTCTCTAGACTGACAAAATCAATGTAGAACCTAGCACACAGCTTCATCAGCTCAAGTTGCCATATTTTACAGTAATGCATAAAGAACAGGTGGATAGAAAAGGAGTGATATCAAAGGAGATAAAGTAATGGGAGAGAATAAGCAATCTGAAGATGAAGGTTAGTGTAAATGTTCAAGCTTTAAATGTCAAGGAGCGAATACATCCGCACCATTGTGACAGATTTTCAGATAGGTTACCAACAGTTTTCAACCACTAATTCCTTTCATCTCGGAGACCCCAAGCAGACAACCTACATCAATAGTCAGGGACTTCATTGACTGCTGCCAAGTCTTGGTCTCGTCATCCTGAAGCCTCTTCCAACTTAATCCAACCTCTACCTAGCATGGTACATCAAGGTAGGCGGTGGCTTGGCATGCAGAGTATAAGTGCAAACCATCTTTGTCGGTTAATGTTCATATCCCCATCAATTGATTTGCCTGTCTTACCTAGTACCCTTCGCCTGACCTCAGCGTTACTCACAAACTGATTCCACCGCATATGAGCAATGCTAAGACACCTATGATCAATCATCTGAAACCGCTTCATGTCTTCTACTTTATTTCTCTGTCACCGTTACTTCAGTCATTATTCCAATATATACACACGAGTTTTCCGACCAAAGTAATCTATTGAAGAGACTGTCTTTTGGTTCCTGGATTTTATTCAACTGGATATGAACAGGGACTAGTACCTCTCAATCAAATGATATTTAAATCAAGTAAGAATAGGAATTTTCAATCTACTTAAATCTGTTACACATCAAACCACTATAATGACCCTCAGTGATCATCTTAAGCATGGTGGAGGGTTCAGTGAAGTGAGGGATTTTAGGTAGAATGGAAATCAATGAATTCAACTTATTTCAAACTTATTATTGTTCCTGTTTTCAAGCGGATTGTGTTATACATGTGTAACTTCCCCTAGTGGTTGACATAATTACTAGTAGACTGCTCGTGTTATTGATCACTACTTGGTAACTGTGTTTATTTGATGTAAGAACCTGAACCAGTGATGTGCTTAGATTGATTAGAATCAAAATTTTAAAGTTTGGGAGACACTTGGATTGGGAGCGATAACTTCCACGGACTGATATCAAATGGAATCAAGTCCAGCGTTTGTGAAATATACACTACTCGGTGGTCATGATGCTAAGGACCAGTAATTAGAGAAACTCATTGACAACGTACAATCAGTGGCGTTCATTTTAACGTCAATTTATTCTTCAAGTTGATATTCATCATGGGTTGAAATCAGTTAGAGAACCACTGTAAACTTTTGAGCCTTGGATAGCTGTTTCATCCTAATATGAGACTCCTCAGTACACCCGGGACTTTCAGGTTCCTGGTCAGGACGTTATCATCGAGTCATTTGAGTGGAATCCAATGGTCTACTTTTCCTACTTCTGTCAGTTCACGAAACATCGTGACCTCCATCAAATGCCATGGTTGAGAAAATCCCCTTATGTCCGACTTTGTTGTCCCCTACGAGTCACGATGTCTCATCAGAACTTTGGGAGATCCTTCATAAAGCAAGTAACTAGTGAGCATCACAGTATTCAATCTGGTGGTTTGTAGAGATTTATTCATTGATTTAAGGTTGGTATTCATCAGGAATTGATATCAGTGGCTCAGTGATAACATACTGGGCACGAAACCTGATGGTCCTGAGTTCGATTCCTGACGGGGTAATGGGTGTTGACTGGTGAGAAGTATCATACTAAAATGAAATGGCTATCCACTATTCCAGGATTTCCAATGGTTCTCGAACTGATGCTAGTCCCCATAAACCTCTAAATTGAATTTAATCCACTTTTGTTCATTTCTTTTTTATCTGATGCTTAAGAAAATGGCACCTCTAACCGATAGACTTCTGCACAAGGTTTTACACTCATTCATCTATCTACCTGATAGTAATTAAACCATATTTAGTTACAAACCTTCATAGTGGTTTCCTTTTTTAAACCAAAATACTACACTTTTAATAATGCTATTCCTGATATCAAGTAGACTGCACAATTAACGTTGAATGCCTTGGTTTCTGAAAGAATCTATTGTGAATAGTTGCACTTGTGTCTAGTTGAATTGTATTATTCTCAGCTTGGATTGGTATATTTGTGTAGGCTTCATCTGAATATTCATCATGCATACTAGGAGATCTATAGGCGAGAACTGACAGGTTGGCAGAAGAAGCAGCGAAGACTGTGCTTCCTTCAGGTGAACGTAGAGAAAACAGAAGTGATGAAGATACCCAGCCAACAAGAACAAACACCAATCATCATCAACGGGAGAAATCTAAGGGAGATTGTCTCTTTCATCTACCCAGGCAAGGCAGCTCGTTTCAAATACAGCTGGCACAAGCACAGATGACGATGTCAAAGCCAGGATCAGAAACGTAAGCAAGACAGGCCTTCCTTCATTAATCTGAAATCAGTGTGGAGATCTACTGCCCTGCACTCCACTTAGCATAAAGAATAAGATCCGGATTTTCGAGACTAATGTCAAGTAAGTCAGTGCTTCTACATGGCGCGTTACAAAGATCGTTTTCAACAAACTGCAGACATTCATCAACAGCTGCCTACGCTCACTCGGTACTGAAGATCAGATGAGAAGGCGAGAAAGAATAAGCAAAAAGGAACTCTCTCTAGCAACAAACCACCTAAGAACCGATCACCCAACAAATATGTAGAAGGAACTGGAGGTGGACTAGATTGGACATACACTTAGAATACTGTTTGGGAACATTACGTGTCAGGCCAGGTCGTCGAGCGGAAGTCAGATGGGAAACCACGAGTTGTGCGTCCGAGGGTGACATGAAGGAGATCATGTGAGGAAGAAATGAAAGCTTGTGGGCAGTTGTAGAGTGAGGTTGAAAAGACTTCAGAGAAGAGAGTGGAATAGAGGCGTGCTACTGAATCTCTATGTTCCATTAGGAACCCAAGGGACAAATAATGATAATAATAATAATACTCCATTCTCATCCTTCACTCAATACTGTCCATATATAAATGTTTATCTGTGTATAACAGGGAGATAAAACTGTTTTTTATATGAATTCAACTATTAAAATATGCACTTATGTATTCGTACAATTTAGGTATATCTTCAGATCAACTTACATATTTCTTTGGGTGTAAAATCTTTACGAAATGTTGTCAATGTATCCAACGGTACAGTTGATTTAGCTATCATTTTTGGTTTTGGTGATGTTTGTGGTTTCGTTGGTGGTGGTGGTGTTACATATTCTGTACGATAGATTGTATCACCTTTGAATGGTTCATCGTATACTTTTGGTAAATGTAAAGGTTTAAAACTATCAACCTTTTTGTATAAAATATATGGTATGAATTCACGTCGATAGGTTGGCTCAGCGTTGAATTTTGGTAATTCACCTTTTCATAGTTTGGTTTAACTAGAGTAATTGGCGATATATCCCATGTACGGTAATCACCTAAGGAGATATAACAGTGTCAGTTACAGAAAAATAACCTATTCTAGGGGCAAAAGTAAATTTATACGAGATGTTCAATGGTGCATAACTTTAAATTTAACTAACCGTGGACGTGGTTTTTGATAAACGCAGATGTTTATGTATTTTACAAAGTATCCAGGAAAACAGTAAACAAGACAGTATTTTATTTTCCAGTGTTCATTGTCCTGTGGACACTCAGCAAGCCGTCATCACTCAAGGTTTTTGGCAAGTATTTTAACCGTAAGTTTTGTACTACTTAGTATCGTCAGCCAAACTGTATTTGAATATCTCTGGAAAGTTTCGGATGTCTAATTAAAAGATAAAATCTAAAAGCATGATAAAACTCAGAAAAGTGATTTTGTGTACTAGAACAGATATAAGTTTCCTCCAGTTGTGATACATCTGTTGCATTCATCTTGGCGACTCGTTGAGGAATCCAGGAAGCATCTTTTGTCCTGTTTGCAACACTTCAGCTGGATATACCTTCACCACAGTGAATGGTTTTGCCCCCATTGAAACCCGAACACAACAACCATCACTCTACTAACAAAGTATAAAAGCATTTGAAATAAAATTCAAAAGGAAAGACTTTTGAAAGATGCTTCGACGTGGATTTCCTGAAGTTCTAGTAAGAAGGTATGACCTGTACGGTCTACGATATTGGAGATGGTGATCAGGCTTTATCGAGAATTGACAGGAGCTTGAAAATGTGGACCATTAGACTGCAGTTCATTGGCTGAATGGTAGCGTAATCGCCATGAAAATTGACGATTTACACCTTGATCACTTATGACGTCGTGAGATGCACTGTGTTGAAGAATCTGAAGCTCTGACAAACAAGCTGTTCAGTAACCTTAGTTTTCCAATGACAACCTAAATGATGTCAGTTCGCAAGGCTTATAACATTGAGATCAATCTATCTCCATGAATAACCAATTAAATAAGGATTGAAAGTTTAAACACACGATTTAATTTGCTTGCACATTGTATTACAGTAGGTAATGTGGTGGCCTGCTTGAACCCTGTGCTACCGAATCTATCCATAGAACATTTTTCATTAAATTCTTTTCTTTCAATTAGTTTTATTATCTAAATATGTACTTTTAAAGGATCATGTAATCTTGTACATTTTTTAAACTGTTTCCAACTCTCCCCTTTCTGGAGTCAGTAAGAAAGCAGGAAAAAAAATGTTTCGTTATTTGGAAATGGACTTTTTGGTGCAAAGAAGTACACTATATTTCTATCCATCAAATGCTTAGCTTGATTTACAGATTTTTGTACCGTATGAATTAACAACCATTACCAAACTCTTTCATTATGAACCGAACGGCCATGCAGAACCAGCTGGCTATTTCACATTATTGCCCTGAATACTGTTATAATTAACCTCATCATTCAGATGCAATAACCATTTCGTCTGAAATTATTGTTCTGGCAGTGAATTTTTTGTAATAAGACATGCTAAGAACTCCAGAATGTATCATACACACTGTTCAGAATGAAGCGGTTACAATCATTATCATAAATTATGAGATATATGGCCTAAGTCCTATATCTAAAAGAATGTACTAAGTTGCGACTAGAAAATGGATTTAACTCCTTGGGATCAAAAACTTTTGTTAGTTACAAGTATGTTTCTGAGCGTTTGAACAAAGTTGCGCATGACTATATGTATAAAACTAAGTACTAGTCCTACTTGAATTGCAGAATCAAGAAAAAGAATAGAATACAAATAATCAAAAATGTTAAAAACAACCTGGCGGAGGTAATCGGACACCATAGGTTTCATCCTCATTAGAATAAAAAGTTATCAACCGCATTTATAAAACAATAAAACCAGATGCACAAAATGAAATTTCCGTAGCAAACTCATCCACATACTCACGGATTTACTGGATCATACAATCACTCAAAAAATTAACTAACTAACTAACTAACTAACTAACTAACTAACTAACTAACTAACTAACTAACTAACTAACTAACTAACTAACTAACTAACTAACTAACTAACTAACTAACTAACTAACTAACTAACTAACTAACTAACTAACTAACTAACTAACTAACTAACTAACTAACTAACTAACTAACTAACTAACTAACTAACTAACTAACTAACTAACTAACTAACTAACTAACTAACTAACTAACTAACTAACTAACTAACTAACTAACTAACTAACTAACTAACTAACTAACTAACTAACTAACTAACTAACTAACTAACTAACTAACTAACTAACTAACTAACTAACTAACTAACTAACTAACTAACTAACTAACTAACTAACTAACTAACTAACTAACTAACTAACTAACTAACTAACTAACATACATACAAACACACATACATACATGCATACATACTCACATTGATAAATACAATCATACATAGCTATTGGAGACGTTTATGTGGCATGGGAGGTGTCAAGAAGCTTGGGACTGTTACCTGTTAAATAGTGTTTAGCCTTAAATTGATCTTTCTGGTACACTAATCAATAATTTGTCTTATATCTTAAAATTTTAGATGACACTATGGACAAGTTGTTAACTGAAAATATCTTGCTGAAGATTTTAATCAGCTATTGTAAGAATATGTTATATATCTGTGGACAGTGCAGACTTCACATGTTAAGCAATTTTGGTGACTAGTCGAAGCCCACACTAAAATTGTTAGTTGCCCCTTCTTAAAGTATTTAACCAATATGATCGTTATTTATGCATTAGGCTTGATGGTCATTTATTAGTTAAAATGTGTTCATGGTCAACTTTGTGAGGCACCGATACACAGGCTGTTTCTGATGTTGCTGCTCATATTATCCCATAGTGGAACGGAATGAATTGATCGGTCAACCTCAAAACTACATCCGTCACGCAAGAAGTGGCTATTCATGACTCGGTGGTCTCTTAGATAACGCTCTGGCATTTGAAGCTACTGGCGCTGATTTTGAGTTCTGGGAGACAGGTACATCCAGTTGACGAATCCCAAATAGGAGTAGGATGGAGTATGCATCCCGGATTCTATCACTAGCCACTATCCATCATTAATACATAAACTCTTCCTGTTGGACAGATTTCAATTTATTTTAACAGAATTCATGTCTTTTCCAAGTTGGCTAAGTTGTACTTGTTAATGGCATGTACTCCAAAATTATTTCAAGTGTTGTACGTGTAAACTTTATATAAAGTTCGAAAATCATATTCATTATGACTGTGAATAGTGTGAGTTTTTTTATTAGCCTCTGTCACTATTTTTTATCGTTGAACACTTACTAGCTCAACCTCTATTACTTGATGCTAACCATTTGAATTACGTGCGACCTGCATTCCTTATGATTCTGTAAATATATCGCGCAATTAGTAGACAGCAGAAGACGGTCAGTAGTAAATCATATATATATATATATATATATATATATATATATATATATATATATATAAGAGGGGATTTCTTAAACTTGGAGAGAGGCTTGTATTCGAAATTCAGTGATATAAGAAACAATAAACTGCTTAAGATCTACTGACAGAATAACCTGTAATGTTGAATACCAAGCATAGGGCAAACTATTTTGTATCAGTAACCTAAATGGTAACTTAAATTAATCACTATCAGAGACTTGGGAGTTTGTTAAGGCTTTTGTTGAAATTATAAGATTATTTAGAATCATACTGCTCTGTAGGCAAGTTGTGAAAGTTAGAGAAAATGGTATACGCATCGATGGAATTTATACTTTGTTATCGATGAATATGCCAATTAAATGTTCATCAAAGTATCTGTAATCTTTTAGTGACTCATTAACTGATATCATCCCAATATAAAAATGTCTTGAAATCGCTTTATGAATTAGAATTACAATTCTATACCAGTATCTGCGTTTCTAGGTACATGTTCTTCATATTTTTCTATAGGAAATTAATCTGAAAATACGTAAGTAAATACATGAATCCAAAAACACATAATAAAAAAGAAACTAAGCAAAAATCTTTTTCATTCTGAGTAGGTAAACAATATTACCATACTTTTATAAGTTGAACTTCCATCAAATTTCACTAGACATCCAATATGTTCTATTGGTTTGATAGGTTCTACCAGTGAACATTTCTTCGGTATAAAGTCACGTCGATAGGATGTTGTATCCTCCATTTTTCCTTTCGGTGGTATATACGACAGTGGTTTATGTACATACGGTGGTTCATAAACATTATATGATGCATAATCACTTCTGTATAGACATAATTAGATAGAATTAGAAATTACCTATGAGTAGTTTTGTCTGAGACAGGTTCATTGCTAGCGAATAAATCATTTGAGAATGGTTTGATGGGATTCTCTAGTACTATACAGTGTGGATGGAATTGTGCTGAGTATTCTGACATCACATATGGTCCCCATGGCACTAGAGCTTTTAGTCTATGAGGACATTTATGATGACTAAAAATTTTAAAAGAAGATTTCAAACAAAACGGAGCGGTTAATTTCTGAATAAAATTAGGTGGTTCATCGGTTATTATGCAAATAAAATGCTTACAGTAGTCAAAAGGAGCTGTATTTGACTGCTGCAAATCAGCATGGATCTGCTACTCCGTAGCTGAAAAAAATATCTCACTGATTAGTACTGACAAACTAAAAATTTAGGTTTAGAACTCCTGACTAATTACCTTTATCATCAGAAAACACTGTCTCGTAACATACAAAGTGTATTCGGTTTATACACAGGCCGGAGATAATTGACATGTTTACATAACAGAAGTTGGAAACTGTGAACCACTGAAAACTGATCCAGTGGCTGAGTGGTTAACGCGTTCTCCGTGAGACCTGAAGGTTCTGGGTTCGACCTCTAACCGGCTTGTGGGTGCGGACTGCTGAAGAGTCACGTACAAGGACGAAACAGCTGTACAGTGCTCCTACATTTTCAATGGTTCCCCGACTGATATCAGTCTGTGATGAATACTACCTTCAAATTAAAAATTCCCATTCATCTCAAAAATTACACGTTATGTATTAAATGACGTTGCACTGACTTTCAAACATCGTGGAATATTTTCTTTCGGACAGCATTGCTTCTTAGATGTTTGCAGTAATATTTATCACTATTATAAGAATAAAACAGACTATCATTGACTGCTAATCTACACATTGCTATAAACCGAAAGAAACCACACAAAAACGTGATGATTATAAATAATGTATAGATTTTGAGATGGGAACTGTTTTCAGGGAAGAATTGTGAGGTGAAAAATTTCCAATTGACTGAAGAGCATAACAGAAATGTATACAGTAAACGACATTTACTGAGGTGAGCTGGTAGGAAGAAATAGAAGTAAGATTTTATGCATATCATGTTTACACATACAGTTTGGACATGAACTGTACATGGCTATTTAATTCACCCCTAATGAATCGTTTATTATGAATTCATGACTAAATTTGTAAAAGGGTTGTTACAGAACAGAATAATTACAACTGGCTGTGTGCCCAACTGGGTTAGTAACGCTAAATTCACTATCAAAAATATCGGAAATCAGACTAATAATAGGCTTACTACCACGAAAGGGAAGTATATACGATTGAGGCATGTTAAGAGATAAATATAAGTCATAATAATGAAAAAGTAATACAAAACAGGCATAAAAATGAACAAGATTAGGAACGAATGGGTAAATTTGAAAACAACCGACAGCTTCTGACTACTATAAAGTTGTAAAAATTGCATTCAGGATGTTTTGTTGGAGTGAACCTGAGGCCTAGTACAGTGATTTAGTGATCCACAGATGTGTTAGCATTTGCACGTAGGTAGTTATCATAAGATTTAGAAACATAGATGTTCTTTTTGAAGAATTAGGCGAGATAAGTTAGACTTGCCAGCCATGCTTTATAAATATGAGTGCAAATGTGGCATTGTTGTCGATGTAAATCCTAAGTTCCCTTTCCTTTACAATCCCTGAATTTATACTATATGTTGCCCAGTTTAGCTACTGTGTGGGGGAATAGAGTGAAATGTACGGAATAAACATTTTCACCATACTGTAGCAAGATGAAGACAGATTCCGAAAGGAGGTTCAGTAAACTTTCGAACAAGGACCGTAGGTCATCTGATTTTTAGTTCGGATTTTTACCAGATACCTCATACGTTTGTAAAGATCGGGAAGAAGGATATTTAAGAAAAACCAAAGGCAAAATTTTTCTGTTGCGATTCCTATGTTCACACGTAGAGAGGTGTGGTTTTCTAATTTAAGCACTCAACTTTCTACCAACGGTTCATGGATCCAAACCCAGCTCTAAACAGGTAGTATCATTAACCTTCACATAAAAGGTGTGGCTAGTTGCCTACAACACAAACATGCTGTTTAATAACCTGGACGAAACATTACCACGGTCATAAACTTTTCAAAACTCTAGAGAATTTAAGGGGACGATAAGTAAAGCACACTGCACTATAACAGAACACGTTTACTGGAAACGCAATTAAACTACACTGAATTACAAAAGTATTTTCTCGCGACAAATAATAGGCAGGGTGGAAGAATCAAAACAAAGCCACTACACAACAGTGCATCATTTCAAATTGTCACACCTCAAAATAGAGCACAATGAGGACGGGGACAATGGGAGGATGAGACTGAAATTAGCTGAAGGTGTGTGAAGGCAGATAGAATGATAAAATAGCTCCTAATATTTGACGGACTCAAGGTAGGAAGCTAACACCTAAATACACGGTGTGGATCAAAACAGATACATTTTGGAATAGTACCGAGCAGTGATCTAGCCACCCATAGCTTTCTTCCAAGCCATTCCAACTTTGGCTTACATCTAGCTTTCAAGTAGAGAGTGGTTGGACGTACACAAATCGTATATATGCCCTCTGTGTCAGTGAAGCCTAACCATCTCGTGGACTGGTCTACTTTCCATGACTACTACTTTCTACCGAAATGCAGTTCAATAATTCACAAAAAACTATAATAGCAGCTTAATTAATTAGATCAGAGAAAAAAGTAATCTATTGGCTATGTAAGTCGCATATCTCCAACTATGAAATAACCATGGAGTAAAATATCCAGTAGCATACTGTTCTCGTTGTCGCATTATTTAAATTTTCATGGTTATTTGTCGCCACTTAATTAAGTTAAAATAGTAACATGAATTTCGGTGATTAGAACTTCTTGACTTCTGTATATTTAGTGGGGTAGTTCAATTCTTGATAATTCCGTCATTGCTAACTGCAGTACAATCAACCGTTACAAGTATCCATGAAAATTGAGCAAATTAATGTAAAGATATTTATAGTCAATCAACAGAGTAAACCAGGCACCCAAAGGAATATTTTGCAGTTGCAAAAGTCATAACATTCAACACTAGGCAACCAGAAAATTCACCGAAGCAACTCATGAAATAATCAAATATGGACTCATAAAAATAACATCTGACCTAAAATAAATGAGATTTCAGACCATAAAGCACTCATTAACCAAAGCGATGCCATGATTAGTTGGAAGTGGATCATTGTCGTCAATAAACAATGCAGTGTCCTTTGATTATGACTTCATTATTTTCTTCTACTGATTTATTAACTAGGACACTGAAATCATTCTGGTTGTGAATTCTAAAATAACTACCAAATGATCCTATTTTTAGGTTTTTACCACTGTAGATGATTCAGTAGTTTGGCGTTGCTGGCGAGAAGCTTGTTGAACACAAATCGTTGCATTAGCTGGCCAGTCCTTGGAGTTGAAACTTTCCTACCATTCATTATGATGCCCGCAACTAAGTGATCTCTGGCTTTGTCATGTTTTTATTCTATCATTCGCTATGTCAAGCAGACAGCATTCTTGGATAAAGGTCAATAATATGTAAATAAACTAGTGACATGCAAGCCAAGATGTGAAAAAAATCGGTGGAATTTCGTCTATTGATATGAATCTTGGAAGGTGCCGACAATATGACGAAGACCCCTAGAATGTTGAAGAAATATTGGATTTATATGCTTGGTGATATGCCTCAAAATAGTCTATAGTTGCGATTAATTTTTTGATATTTTTAGTTTTGAACATACCAGGAACTTTAATTTATGTGTTTTCTTTTCATAATACAGAGAAAAGAAATTTCTTGGTAAAATCACTTAGTAACTAAAGGATCCTTGGTCAGAAGAAACCCTTAGGCTTATTCACAAAATAAGCTTTGAATAACAATTTATTTTCAAAGTTCATTTGTATTCTTTGTAGGGCTTCTTAGATATTTATCTGCAATATGACCTACCGAGATCCGTAAACTAATTTACGGATTGAAATATCAAGATCATATGGGATATTAGTAGCTGTGAAGGGAAACAGGACATGGGTAAATATTAGCAGATTAGTTTTGTTATTCTGTTTAATACTCTGACACACTGCAAAATCTTACACCCCAGTCTGACAAAAAAGGCGAAATGAGGAGGAAAATTAGAAAATAAAGGGGAAATGACTGGAAAAAGTAGAAGTTGATCGGAATACTGTTTATGTAGAACGAAAAAGGAGGTGGAGAAGGGAAAGTAGATTTTCAGGCGATATTGAGGCGGAAAAGTCGAGAATTAGGGGGAAATTAAGCGAATTTCAAGGGATAAAGTCGACAAGTAAACTTATAGGTTGAAAAAGGAAAGTGACCTAAGGGGAGAAAATGGACAGAAAAGGAGCAAAGGCGCAATCGAAAGAAAACGGTTGCTTGTCCTCACGAATGTCACTTCATATTATTCACTTTTTTCCCCTTTAAACGATTTATTTTCCTCTGTTGGTCTGTATGGGATAATATCCAGCTGAAATTCTATTTTAGCTTCAGTCGAAAAAGTATTTTTATGGTACGAAATTATGATCTCTATGAACCAGCTCACCCACAACAGCAGATTTCACATATGCATTGCAATGCCGGTGACATATTCTATCAACCACGAGTACAAGTAACGAATGAAGTGGAAGTTGAATTTGCGCAAAAGAAATATTATTTGTATATCGAAACACTCAAACGATTGGATGTGATTATTGACTGAATCGAAAAGGATTTCGCCCAATTGGTCTGCGCGTTCAGAGTCAGTGTACCACTTGATGCTGTGTTTAAGAACCTAAGAATAGAGGCAAAGGAGAGAAAAACAAATAAACATTACCAAAGTCCAGGTTGTTAGCGACTTAGTAAACTCATGTTATGACCATAAGTCAACATCAAGTTTGTATTTGGAAGTCTTGGGTGGAGTAGCCTGAAGGAAGCATACCAAGCCCCAGCAAATTTCAGGGATGAAAAGTTAAGCCTAATGGCTGTTCTACTGTGTTCAAGTCCTGTCCTCTGGTCCAATATCCAATGTCATTTTGCTAGCTAGTGCAAACCAATTAATTTCTTCGCACTCGCTTTTGGGTCTTTTGGTAGGCTTCACATCTTTGGGGCATTCTGGTGCAGTATGTCTGCTTGCTCGCCTGCTATAGCTCTCGTTATCCCGATGTGCGGTTGGGTGTTTATCAAATTTGTAGGGAATGCATTTTTTCAGCTGCCGTGGTGCAGATGGGTCACTCAGATGCCGTGCAACCAGATAGTTTGTCGAACTGGTCGTAAAAAGAAGAAAGAAAGGGTGCTCAGGAAACTCAGCGGAGAGGAAGGGCGAAGGAAAAGAAGCAAAACAGTGGTAAGGTGAAAGGAAGCGGAACGGGAGAAGAAGTCCAGGTAGATTCATGGGAGAAGAGTGATAGAGGGGATGACAGTTGCACTTGGGGCTGGGCTTAATAAACAGTGGAGGAGATGATCTGAAGTGTCTAAGATGTTGAACTACGTCATCAGGTTATCCCCCATAAGTTTCCATTCTAAGGGGGTATATATCCGCGAAAATCTGGACTGCCAACGGATTCAAACCAGCGACCACTGGGATAAAGAAACAGTGCCGCCATGCATTCCTACTTCGGCCTAAAAGTTTGTTTGCGAATTGGTTTGTTAAGGCGGTTCGGAATCCGCTCTATATACTTACTTTTTTAAGTGAAGGATGGCGGTACCACATGAAACTGTGAAATGTTTCGCGCGAACACCTGTAATCGAACTGTCCAGACACTCGACGCAGCGTTGCGGGTGCTAAATCTGCATGGAATGCATTCGGGTCACAGTAAGCGTAATATTTACGGTAATAGGGAGCCAATACCCCACGGCTCTTTTCTAGAGGACGTGCCTGCAGCACAGTTCTGTTTTTTTGAGTGTGACACGTCATATCATACAGGTAGCCCGCGCCCTTTTCAGAATTGAAGGTTGGTTCAATGTAATCTGCGTGATATTGGGATGGGGTCAAACAATCCTGCAAAGTCAGCCCACTTGCCTCATCTCTTGTTTCTCTCCATGGTTTCACAACATCGACAAGGAGAACCACTTCAGATGGTGCCAGTAAAGGCTGATCATCAAACGGAACCCTCATGGAGGCAAAACACCCCCTTGATACCCTCGAGAGGAAAAATCGGAATCCAGGACTTTATTCACCCAATTTTGTTGACCAGAATCCCGGAATAGTTTTGTCCTAACCGTGAATGAAATGCTACAAAGTTTATTCAGACTTAGATTTTCGGAGAGTAAGAGAGGAAAATTCCGTAATTGCCCGGTAAGGAGTGCGGAAAATTCATAATGGCTAACGCGTTGTAGTCGAAAAATTAAAATTAACTGATGGGCGTGAAATGGTAGTGTTTACCTTTTATGGTATACAAGTTGAACCTTGATTTCTAATGCCAGTGACGACCAGTCATCACTCTATGCATCATTTTCATGAGTGTGAATAAGTTTCCGTGTAAACTACATGATTCATGAGGGCGAGTGACTTAATATAATTATTAATAATGATAATAATATTTATTCCTGAGTTTATAGGTGCGTGTGAACATT